GTACATAAAGCCGGAGAATACCATATGGAATTTGACATTAGATGTAAGGGATTGTAAGAGATCTTATATTGTATATATGTAGCTAGTAGCGTCGGATAGATATACAAAAACTTGTTGTTCGACCAATCTCTCGGAGAAAGAGAGGTCGATCACTTCTCTCTGTATATGTTCATGACGATCCTGTGTACTTAATGGTTCCCTCATTTGCTTAATAGCTAGCGTGTCGAGTTCTTTCTATACGTATAGTAGCTAGCTCGACCAAGCACGGAGAAAGAGAGGACACTTCGCTCTATTAGCTAGCTAACACAATATGAAACCCCTAAATTAACCCTCCCAAAAACCCCTAACCCCCCCCCCTTTCAAAAAAACCCAGCTCCTGCCAGATGCGGACGCGTGGATGGCTCCAGCCGGGACTAAAGATCCTCCTGCCTGGGCTCCCCGTAGCGGCCACATGGAGCCCCTTCTATATGAACCGGGCCTAAAGATTTTGGGTTTTAGTCCCGGTTCCAGAACCGGGGCTAATGGGCCTTTGGAACCAGGACAAATGGGCCGTTTTCTACTAGTGCATGTTTACAAAAGGTTGCATGATATAAAGTACTACTTAAGAACTTGGGAGGAATCCCTAGCTAAAGGTTCACACGTTTGACTTGGCATCCAACAAAACCTTCTTTTGAAAAGCATAATGAGTATATATCGTTTGGTTTCACTAAGACTAACATAATAACCATGTATCACTAGAAAAAAAAAGAGTGGCTAAATGGCCACGAGTATCATACAAAGAGACACTAAACTAGCATAAGTGACATAAATTTTATCTCCACACCGACACATCATCAACATGCTTTGGAGTATTGTACTAATCCAATAAATTTTAGTATAATAAATAATATTGTGAGGGCTACTTGTGATGAAAGAAGCCCACAAATATTGAAGTTACTTATGGTTGGAATCTCGAAGATGGTCAAGGGTATCTATTGTTGCCCTACACAGAGCAGATACATACACATACTAGTGGTATGTTGTAGGCTAGGTTAAGAAAAGAGAGAGGGTTAGTGAAATCTGATACGTCTCCAATGTATCTATAATTTTTTATTGTTCCATGTTATTATATTATCTGTTTTGGATGATTAATGGGTTTTAATATGCTCATTTATATTATTTTTGGGACTAACCTATTAACCTATTAACCGAAGGCCCGGTGCCAGTTTCTGTTTTTTGCCTATTTTAGTGTTTCGTAGAAAAGGAATATCAAACGGAATCCAAATAGAACGAAACCTTCGCGAGGATCTTTCTTGGAACAAACGTAATCCAGGAGACTTGGAGTGAAAGTCTGGAAGTTTTCGAGGCGGCCACGAGGCAGGAGGGCGCGCCCCCCACCCTCATGGGCCCCATGGAGCTCCATCGACATACTTCTTTCGCCTATATATACTCTTATACCCTAAAAACATTAAGGGGAGCCACGAAACCACTTTTCCACCGCCACAACCTTTTGTACCCGTGAGATCCCATCTGGGGCCTTTTCCGGCGATCTGCCGGAGGGGGAATCGATCACGGAGGGCTTCTAGCTATTGGAAATATGCCCTAGAGGCAATAATAAAAGTATTATTATTATATTTCTTTGTTCATGATAATTGTCTTTGTTCATGCTATAACTGTATTAT